CCAGGCTTTGTTGGGCTTGTGGACTGGGCCCTCCTCGTGTTCCTCTCCATCCTCACCATCGTCGACCCCGTGGCTCAAACTGAAGCCGGAACCAGGATTACACGCAAGAGGGGCGGCTGGTCTCATGGCGAGACGGCGAGCGCGCAAGGAGGCGTGAACTACTCAGATCTGCTAACTAATCCTGGATTCGTGGGAAGACAGCCCAGCCTGATGGTTTACTGTGGAGCACGATGTGAATTGATGTGGCAGGGGTGTCCAAATCCTTCAAGTAAGTGACGGGTTGCATCCACGAGGACTGCTGAAAACCTGATTAGCTGTGAGCCAGGTCCACACACTGCTGAAGTGTAGTGACGCTGCGCAGAGCCCACTGTCTTCCCCATGTGTCACACTCACATAAAGCTAGTCATCATCCACATATCACTGTCTTGTCTCCCAGTTGACCCTTCCTAAGTCCCGCCCCTTTTGGGGGCTCGGTCAACTTTCTCCTTTCCTGTACTTAGATATGCTATGTGCTAGGCTAATCTATATTGAAAACACGACCACATTTTAAAGATGGCTTAAATGTTAAGTGACATTATATATATTGTTGCATTTTAGCTTAACTGTTAAACAAAACTCTAGCTAACATTAGCTATCAGATGTAACTAACGATTAATGTAGATTAGCTAATTTAAGTGTTAATATTAGCTAATGTAACATGTGACTATATATATGTAATTTCACTTAACCACATTTTGAAGATGGTTGTCTTTTCAACGTAGCACTAGCACGTAGCACATCAACGCACAGGAAAGGAGGAAGCTCAACTGTTATTGGAGCATATAGCAAAAAGGGGCAGCTTAGGAATGTTTAATACTCTGTGGTAACACGTCCACTTTTTCGAGCCATGAAGTGACTGCACTGTCACATAGATGCAGGATATGATATAAAGGAGGAGGTTCTGCTGCTTTAAGGGCTGTGGGGTTCAGGTCTTAAATGTTTTTTTTTTTTTTTTCTAACATAATCTGTAATATCACCACCATCACTGCCTGTATTTTACCATTCTGACTGGACTTCTTACCATTAAATAGAACTAATCTAGAGCCAAGACATTTTTCTTAATCATTAGTAAAACCATTCCTGTTACCCATGCCCACTTTTCGTCAGTTAACATCTACGCTATGTTGACATTTGGGGACCTTGACCCGAACATGTCCAACAGTATTGGGTCAAATTTACACGACCTATGCACTTATGTGCTTTAATCCAACCTGTTAATATTTCACGTTTGATTTTGCCTGTAATAAAGAGCTGGACTGTTTGAGCTTTGACTCGTCAATATCTGCACAAATAACAAGACTCCATCTAAATTAAAAACAAAGTTTAATCCAGGGTTTTAACTGTTCACTGTTACAAAGAGGAAGTAAAAAGCAAAGGGAAATAAAAACATTATTAAAACTGACAATAAATGAGGCCAGTCTTTTTTCTGAACACATCAGGGGACCAGTGGCTGTCGGGTGGAATGCAGTTCCTGCTGGTGTTTGTGTTCAGGTAACATCCAAAGTACACACCGTGGCCCAGCTGAAAGGACTTCTTCAATACGCTCACCAACATTCACTGTGGAAAGAGCACAACAAGTGTGTAATGAATGACTGTACATGAACATATAATGGTTAGTTTAAACAAACCGCTGTATTATGGCGGCTGATCTCAAAACCTCAGAGGCACAACAAAACCAACTAAATGACAAATACTAGAGAGGTCCTGAACCGATCTCAAAGATTGGTATCAGGGTCAATCAAGGATGTTTTTGACTGGTTGCTATCTGTTAAATTGAGAATTAACTAAGCCCAGTCCTTTGTTTTAACAGGTACAAAAAGTTTGACTTTTTTTGGTCCAGTGCAACCTACTCCACGTGGGCAAATATGCAAAATATTCAAAGTGCATCCACTAAAAGTGCTTGTTTTTGCAACTGACTGGCTCTGATTGTTAGTCTATTAGGTTTATGGAAAGGACCCCTACAAAGATATAAGAGTAAGATCCTTTTAGTATAACCAGAAATGGCTGTTTAAACGCTCTGTTTAAAGCCACCAGACTCCATTTAAAAAATACTAATTTTACCTCAGAACAGGAGTTGCTGGTCTACCGCTGCCTCGATCAGTAATTTTGTTTGAGTGTTATAGTGTTACTACAATTCTATTCAATTTTTTTGTTATACCGCCAAATTTATAACAGAAGTTATCTCAGGACACTTTTCAAATAAAGCAGGTCTAGACCGAACTCCTACACTGCTGCATTAAGTGGACTTGAGTTATTTCTAAACATATCTTTTAGTTTGTTTACCTTGTTATTTTGTAACATAGAGCTATTCAACTGTCAGTGTGCACTGTGCAACTGTATTATCTAGGAAAACTGACTGAAGCTCACTGATGCCAGACGGACCACTTTAATGTGGCTTGTCAAAGACAAACAAAAGGTGATTTATTGCATTTATGGATAGATTGTTACTGTAATAACGCAGCTTCAAAGAGAAAGCTCCAACAGACATACATTGAGCAATCTGAGCTATTAAAAAGGGTTATGTAACGGAACTTCATTAGTCATTGGTGGTAAAATGTGGAGATGCTCCAACCTGAACTCCTAGTCACTCCTGGGTCTCCATGCTCTCATCTTCTCCATCTCCTCCCTCCTCCAGAGCTTCATCTTCCTCTTCCTTCCTCTCTGGGGGTTTCTCATAGGCCTTCTCTGACGGAGTGACGATCACACCGTCCCATGTGGACATCTCTGTTGCCAGGTCTGCAACAACAGTTCCATTAGAGTTAGTGAGGCAGAGTTTCTACCTGCAGAGCTGGGTCAGCTACAGTGAGTAAAAACCAGTCTATACTCCTCATACTGGAGAATGATATTATCTTACAGCTGGCGTCTCCTTCAAGGCCGAGGATCTTCCTGTAACCTCCGTGAGAGAGCACCCTCACCAGTGTCTGAGCTGTGAAACACACCATGTCCTGCACAAACACACACAAACACAATCACACCATCATCAGGTAAATGCAACACTTCCAGTGTGCTACAGAATATTAAAGACACAGGTCATAAAGAGTGGAATCACCAATCTCCCTGTATGGCCTGCAGTGAAGCGACGGGACCAGGCCTACCTGCTGTTCCAGAGTCATCACTGTGTGCACTCTGAAGTTCCCGCTCTCACAGGGGTCAGTGATGCCCACAGAGCCGGGCAGAAAGAGGCCAGCAGCCAGCATCTGTAAGCAGCGTCTTCAAAACACAGAGTCCAACACAAAGCTCAGAGAAACGTCCCATCTGTAGTGAATGTAATCAAACAGATGAAACCTGAAAATGGGGACCAACCTGTAGGCCACGTTCAAGGACAGGGGCTGCCTGGACGGGTTGTTCATCACTGCGGAGTGGCCCTGCAACACAACGGACACAACACAACATTAGGACACTAAGTTCTGTTTTTCAAATGGCAGAAGTCAGGGAGTGTAAAGCAGCAGACTCACCAGCAGGTCCAGGATCCAGGGAGTGAGGGGTTCAAAACCAGGGAAGCGCAGCCTCAGGTCCTTCAGCAGGCGGATCAGCACCTTGACCCTAAAGGCGATCAATATGACAGAATCCAGTGAGGTCGGGCGAGCCGCACTGTGTGCATATGGTCTGGACAAGGAGACTTTACTCACGTTGACTGAGAGGCGTTCTCCTCAAACCAGCGGGCGTGGCGGATGGCAGCAAGGGCGCTCTGCAGCACCTTGATGTCCACTGAAGAGACAACAGACAAAGTAACCCGAATGCAACAAAAAAGACTCCACCTGGGGACACTGAGGATCATGGTCGGTGTAAGTTGTGTGTGAGTTCATACAGTGCAGCTCAGGGTCCAGTTTACGCAGGTTGGGGGGGACGGTGGTGATGAGGATCTTGACTGTAGCATCGGCTGAACTGATCTCGAAGCCTGTCTCGTTGGTCAGCATGGACAGCACTGAAACCAGCAGATACACAGTCAGCACTGTTACATCACAAGCTGATTGTGTGCTGCATTAGATCAATTATCAACTGATCACTGACATTTTGAGAAATGCAGACAACAACTGAACCAGCTCAGCTTTAAAGTACACTGTTTGAATCCAGAATTAAATGAAACCAATTAATGTCACCAACTGTCCTGTTACAGTGAAAGCATACACCTTTCAGGAAGTGAACAACAGCCCCTCACTGGGTTACCTTCAGTAGGGTCCTGTGTGCGAAGGGTCTCCACTACTTTGTTGCCAAGAGCAGCGACTGCCTCCACTGTAAAAAGGAAAAAAAAAAACATCCAACATTACAGATGAAATGGTCAGGGGCTCTGAATAAAGCTCTCCTTGCATTAGAATGACCAGGCAGACTGACACACAGGGTTTTAACGTAGTCAACAGGCACTAAATTCACACAAAATGACCAACTCAAGACCGTTTCTCTGGCAGTGAGGGATTGTATTAGCCTCACTACTGTTTGGCTAAAGGTTTAAATTAGGGACATCCAATTTGTTTTTGCCGATCGGAATATCTGCAGATACAGAGTCCGGATCCGATCTGATAATACAGTTGCACAGTGCACACTTCCCTAACTGAACTGGTGAAAATGGTCAGTACCTGACAAAATCTGGAATCAATTGTCTGTTTAGATTTGCTTTGTTTAATCTGATACTTCCCATTTAAAAGCAGTGTTAGACTATTTATTTAGCCTACTTGTGTTAAAGATTTGTGTAAGATTTTGTCTACTCTTGTTAAACAGAAAAGGTCTGCAGAAAACCATGTTTACACTATATTTCTAAGTAAGGTTGTTACGATACCAGAATTGTAAACTTCGATGCAATACTAGTACTAAAAAACACGAGGCAAAAAAAGTCCTGTGCACACAAATTCCTTTCTTTTGTCAATTAACCTGCACACAGTGCTGGTACAGGAGAAGTCACTGAACACATACTGAGGACCAGTTGATTTTCTTCCCTGTTGGTTCATCTGGGATGCAAAACTGATTGTAGACATTGTGAGTGAAAGAGGCATTGCTTGCTGTCCAAGGCAAGCAACAAATGCTGCGTTCTGCAGTTTACTAACACTGCATGATCTCATGACTACACCAATGGCCTCTTTATTTTTACGCAGATGACATCACTTCCTCTGGAACACTCACGTGTCGGGAGGATCTTGAGGATTACAACCAGGTCAGCAACGTTGTGTCCTGTTGTCATGGTGCCCTTCTTGTAAGAGCCCACCTGACGCACCTCTTCAATTTGCTGCAAAGACACAGAGGTACGACATTATTAACATGTAATGTACCAATATTATTAACTAGCTCACATTAGACACAGGTTACACATGTATTTACTGATACAAAAGAATTAGAAAAAAAATTCTTGCAGAAATTTGCAAAAATGTAAACCCTTACCCTTAAATTTTACCCTAAGTTGGTTTTAGATACTTATAATGAAATATGGTTAGTAAAAAATAAAGCTGTGTAGTTTTCTAAATACTTGCTGTTATTGCTTCATGTCACACGGATACATTAAACTGGGAACCTGAGATGTTCTAGCAGGACAGTTCACCAATTCATTTAGTATTGTGACCTGATCATTTGTCACATGTATCATTATACAACTCCACACACTGATCTGAACTACAATAAGGGGCACATCCCGGAGTCATTCAGGATGTTAGAGACAGAAACAGAAAGACTAACCACTTCAAAGTTGCCAGGCGCAACAATCAGGTTGTCAATGACATTGTTGATCTTTGTGACCAGGGACAGGATGGAGGACTAAAAGGAAGCAAGAGAGCAATAATCAGGGTTTGTGTCAGTGACAGTAAACAAGAGACCTATTGTAGTGCGGTCAGTGTTTGACTGTGGACTGACCTGCTCTGCGGGCGTGGGGCTCAGGTCCTGGTTTCTCTTCAGCAGACACTCGCTGAAAGCTGTCTCATCGGATGCAGGCTTCACTCGGGGGAAGGCCATCTCACACTTGTGATAAAAAACAGTCAGTCAGTACACACATTGCTGCTCAGCGCAGGGTTCCCACTCTTAAAAAAAAACAACCTTTTCCAGTACTTGTTCTCCTTTCTCTAACAATACAGGACAGCTCTTGCTCACAGTACTTACTTAACAGCCACCAAAAGACTGACCCTGCTGCAGTGATGTACAGGTGTACATCACAGGACTGCACATCCAACAGTGAACCAGAGAAGGCAAACACTGCTTTCCAGTCTGCTGTTAAAGGACCAGTGTGTAGGATTTAGTGGCCCCTAGCGGTTAGGTTGCAGATTGCTGTACTGTGACCCAAACCATTAATCAAAACTGTCTTTTATATTTACGTACTTGTATGTGGAACAGGAAATCTAGAGCGTGTTTTATCATATTTCACGTGCTGAAGCTCCTGAATGTAACCCACCCATAGGTAGTATTTTTTTTTACTCACCACATAAAAATCAAACGGGATGTGTGGGACAAATGGACGGTACCTAAACAGGAATGAAGAGAAGTCGAACAGTTTTGTGATAACAACTTTAGGCAGTGCTTATGTTAAATATTGTGGGTTCACACTCACAGCAATGTCTCAATATCATTAGGGGTGTAACACCATTCTGGTTGATTTAGGAAACAGTGCTCAAGATTCAATCTTCTCTGAATACTTTAACCAAGTCTGTCAAAATAAATCAGGACACGAGGAACCTCTTTGTTTGTATGGCATAAAATATCAGAAAAATCAATGTTGTCACTGTTTTTCATATGGATTTTAGTACCAAATGCAAATGATTGACTAGATTACAAAAACAAAAACATTAAACATCAAACAACCAAGAAAACCCCTATAGTAAACAAAGCCTTCAGTATATAGAAGATGACATTTATTTATTTTACATTCGTGTACTCCTGTCAGCAGTATAAGCCACTATAGACCTATATAAAGGCCCTGTCTTGCAAAAAACAAAAACAATCTTAAAAAAATACCATGATACAAATATTTGTGCCCAGCTAATGATAGACTAAATTAAAACATGTTCTACGACAATATCCTGTACGTATATATGTATGTACATACGTACATCTACTAATGCTGCTTTAATCATGATACCTTTGAGATGTTAATTAAGAAAATATTGGAAAATAATTGTATCGCAATATTGTATTTATTCTCACATGATCATTGTTTGATAGATAGCAGTGATGTGAACATAAACTCAGGGCTGTGATGTTGGATGTTATAGCTACTGTATTAAATACAAATCCAGATGTTCTGGTTGCATTAAAAAAGAAACCCCTGTCTCAGGTTTGATGCATATGGAGTGTGTTCTTTCTTGCAATATATCACCAATATATTGAATCGTGGCCCCTGTGTGGTGATACGCCTTCCTCTACTGTTGATAAATACAAGCCAGTAGCAGCCCGGTGCTTGAACTCACCCCTGGACCAGTCCTCCACGGGACCCGAAGCGGCCTCCCCGACCCCTGCCGCGGTCCCCTCTAGACACAAAACACAGTACAGTGTCAGAAGTGCTCGTCAACGACAGCTTTAAGAGTAATGAACTACTGGAACCCGTTAGGAACACTGATGCTGCGCAGCCTTACACACGTTACGCTCCCATACACAGCACTGATTCATTCATTCACTCAGCTACTTGGCCTGCGGTGTTAGCTGACGTTAACCCACTGGGTAGTGGGTACATTAGCCATGTAGAAGCACACATTCCTCTGTGGTTCACACATGGTACCATTCATACTCACTGGAATAATACAACATTAATGAGCTGCCTCGCTAACAGGTTAGCTGCAAACAATGCACGTCGCTAGCTTCACGTTACGCTAACATAACTCGCTCTAGCAACGACTACAATCGACAGTTTTCTTTGCATCAAACTGTAAAAGACAGTGGCACTTATGGTCAATCAGGCTGAAGTATAATTACCTCATTGCGTACGACGTTTTGATTGTTTAAAGTGAAAATGCTAGGAGAAGTGTTCACCGTAGACCGGCTGCTAATGCAGTGCTGCTTCTTCTTCTTCTTCTTCTTCCTCTTTGAGCTTTAATGGCTGTTGGAAAACCAGCTCACCGCCCTCTACTGGACGGGAGTGTGGAGCAGTAGATTGGCAAAAAACAACTAAATTCCCTTTATTATTCTTGTTACTATTACTAATTAAGGAAATTATATCTTTCCTAGCACATTCCCCAATGTAATATTGTGTGTTTCATCATTTAGTACTGCTATTAAAGATGCCATATTATGCCCTGGGGATTCCCCCTTTTTAATATAGTGTTTCTTTTTCTTAGAGATTCAACAGAAGCTGGCACACTTAGTGTTGCAATACTGCCATCTTCTGGCGGTAGTTAACTCCAACAGTGTCTGGTTTGTCAGATCTTTCTCATCAGTCTTGTTCTCCTTAGCAAACTGACTTTGTCTACTTCCACCACACTCCAGTATGCTCCGGAGTCCTGCTCCAGTTAGCTCTGATCTTTTCATCTCTTCCATCCTGTGCTTCTCTCTCATATATATTTCTGCAACAGCAGGTTCTACAGCAGGCCTAGCTGACAATGTTCACAAAGACGTTGAAAGTGTGCAGTTCATATTACTGTGTGCTATTCTTAATCTAGTCACCATTATCTACTTTTTTATATTTTATTTCTCACAATACTTCATTTTGAATTGAATGTAAATGTCTTCCCCTTATCTCCTGATCCCACTCTGATTTTGAAACGTTTAACATGGATGTCTGTTTTGTTTTTGAACAGCTTTTTCCCTAGTGTGTCCACTCTCGTATTGGCCAGTGTCTTATTGTATTACTCTTGGATGTATTGCCATTATTTCAAATAGTACGTCCTGACGATTACTAGATGCCCCTGGCTTTAGACTTTTTCAGTTTTTCTTTATGAAAATGAGATTGAAGAGAAATTATGAATTAAGATTCCTTTAAGATCCTTTAAGATAAAATATATTTCTTTATCAAATTATAGAATCCTTTTTTAAATTTCTAAGGTAGGGTATAAACTGTCCTTAACAGTTCCTTTGCTTTGTAAAAGTGAAACTGTCATTACGCCTTGATAGAGCTGCTGACGCACCCTGTGCTGTTTAAAAAGAGCATCACAATTCATTTTTCATCTCACCGGTTAAAATCTTCACATATTTCTATCGCAGTTTAACTGTCATCGTTATCTTTTTTATCTTTTCTACCTTCTTCCAGTATTCTATTCTATCTGTTCGTCAATTTTACATTGTATTGGTAGAATCCGTAGCATGGGCTTGTTACGTGGAGACGACCCAATTTCTCCTGCTTGGGGATTAATAACAGAGTCTATCAACCTACTCGTAATTATTAGTCTACTCCTATCTACTCTACATCTATGCTATTCTACTCCTACTATCTAGTCATCTCTATCTATCTATCTATCTTTGAGCTGTTTTATGCATAAACACAGTGGCATTTCTCCTGACTGGACTCAGTTCTTTAGCATTTTTGACATGGACATGTGAATATATCTTGAAAGCACTTGTGTGCTTGTATGTGTATATATGTGTGTTTACTCATGTATTCTGTGTTAAGTAATAGGACTAGTGTGTATAAACAGAGTCAGATACAGGTAATACAAAGATCAACCTGAGAGTGGGAAAGTATGGAGGAGTGTTGTTTCAGTATAATTTCAAACACAAACTCAACATTCTCCCAAGGCTTTTAGTTTGACAATGAACACTGACAATGGCGTACACCACAGGCACTAATTTCTTTGCAAGTAAACTTAAGATTAGATAATAGTTGTAATAAAACGTTTACGTAACACACAGATATATCTACACAAACTAAATTAAGCCTTACTGGCTATTTCTTAGCCAAAGTAAACTCTGGGGGTGTATGTGAGGCAGATTTTCCTTTATGTCTGAATCACAGAGTCAGTCATGTAGAGGAGATATCATTCATTTGTGGACCAGCCTCTAATCCCTGCCCATTCTTCTCCAGAACAAATAAAACCCTTGACATGAAAGACTACAACACCATTTATGTAATTAAGCAAGATCGTCCTAGAGATCACCAGAGCAGTATTGGACCAAAGTTTCCTGGCTTATGTTCACCATGGTGCAGTTGAGATGGACGTGGACTTTAGTGATGGCTTTTTCAGGTAAGAAATACTTGTGCATTAATAGATTGTGTTGGAAGAATGAGACAGACCTTGTGGCTTGTAGCAGGGCTGCTGTTATCTGTATCCCTTTATAACTCATCAGAGAAAGTTTGATGTTCTGCTGAAGGAGACACTAGAGAGGCAAAAATGTATCCTGAACTGCTCAGTTTTGAGCAATCAGGTCTTATTTCAGACTACTAAAACACCCACAATACACATCCATGTTGATTTTACCTTTTATGTTTGCATTTGTAGATTTCTCCAAAATTCATTAAGAGTTAGTAATAGATAGTGCCTCATTTGCATATTTAAACATAACACTTCAGAAACTTTAAAACAAAAAATAATAATCTTAAACTAAGTATTCAACTGGGGAAGTTGAATAGTGTAGAGTCTAGTGTAAAAGGTATGGAATTTTAAAAAACCTAATCTCCACTTCAGTAGCACTTACACGCACCAAACTCTTCAGGGTTATTCCTATCTATATGCAGAAGGTTTATAGAGGGGTTTGTTAATATATCATTCATAACCTGATTTATATCACATTTTATTCCTACAAAAATGTATTATCTTTTATGACAGTCTTTTCTCATTTATGGAGTGATTCAAAGAGATATTTAAAATTTATTTTTTAAAAACCGTTGACTCTAATATATCAATACTTTATATGTACTCTTGACTCTGTAAAGACTACTCAGAATTGCTATTTCAAATAACTCAGTAATTTCGGGTGAAATATACACTGTGTGTACTCCACTCATTCTCTACAATTTTCTGATCTGCTTCTCTAAATTGAGACATCTGTAATGAAAATGTGAACATTTGGCAACAGATTTTAAATGCCAGGATCTTAGTGGCAATATAAACATGCATATGGCATATCTGAATAGCCTATCAGAGGCCCAATTTTAATGGTATTGGTTTTTGGTGAAACAGTCTCACCCCAGGGTCCATATAGTGGCTGTTTTAGAGCTTTCAGTCACAGCACACAATCTTCCTCAGCCAATGGAGTTGCCATGGAACTGTAGACGTTCACATTCTTCTTAGCACATTAAGAACTTTTCCATTTTGGGTTAAACATTGAGACTAAAAGGTCATTACTGAGCTGTCCATTGCTTGCTATATTTCGGAATAAATAGTCCATGCAGCCCTCTCCATGCTTTTTGAAGATAGAATACATGACAGTGCCACTCAAATTCAAGACAATCTGACAACTCTGACTGAGGAACCTGTAATGTTGGAAGAAATGGAGCCGCATGTGCAAGAAAAGGTTGAGAAACACTGTTTTTGACAATGGTATGAAAGTCTTTCATTTGTCCAACAATAGTTCTGAGGGTGCAAGAGGGTGGCTATATACAGGGCTTGGAAGTGACAAATCCGATTGAAAACATTAATGTGTGAATGATATTGTTGATAATAGATAATATGTCTTATTGAAACCTGCAGGGCTTCTGACAGTTCATTCTCTGGGCCTGCATGACTTTCTCAGTGCAGAGCAACTCAGCTCCATTCCACCGACGGCCTACTTTATTCCAATGGAGATCACCAACAAAGTCTTCACCGACGCACTGCTCGACAAAACATCCCTGGAATATAAGACCTTGTATAAAGAAGTCAGTGCCTTGGTAAGATGACTAACAATAGAGGATGATAAGCACTTGTAAAAGACTGTTTTTGTCACAGTGTCAGGAGGACTGGTGCTTTTCACAGCAACTGTGTTCAGCGTCTCATTTAGCCACTCGTAGCAACCGCCTTTTTTAGGATGCACAAAAGCTTAAAATTCACAGGTGGGGTATTTACTTTATTTACTTATTTTACAAAACGTGAAAAGCTCCTAAGCTTGTGTTAACCACAGACCTTATTTCAGGCATCTAAGCAAAAACCCATTAAAAAACCCACCGACTTTGAGGAGAGGCAACCGGATGTACTAAAATGCTAACTCATTTCCTTGTTTTAGGACTGCTGCATTCTATTGTCACTGTGAAATTACCTCTGTATTTAACATTTTCAAACTTTTTTTGTTTATTGTTTTCAGCTTCAAGGCATCTATAACTGCTCTGACAGCAGTATGTGTCCCACAAATAACTACTATCAAGGTGTTGAGGAAATTAATTTCAGGTATCATCATTTTCGTGCAGCTGTTCAGTGTTTAATATTAAATCATATATTTTTGTTTACAAAAAGAGTTTAAATGATTATTAGATCAGCATATCAGAATTTATGAATATAATGTATAACTTCTTCTTCACTGTGCTTTCTTTCGCAGTTCAGGATCAGTAATTGCAGATACATATATACTCTTTAAGGCCTACACTGTCAATCCAGCAATTCTCCATTATTACTTTTTAAAAAATGCTGACAAAGTTAAACCCCAAATCCTCCAACTTAATATGGACTACACAAAAAGTAAGATCTCATTTTGTACTTGTAATAGAATTTGTTCCTCCTGAGTGACGTACATGTCTGCCTTGAAGTGATGGTCTACATATGTAATTTGTATGTCTTTTTTTTT